ACTGGGGCCGTAATACTACTTCATTATCAGAAAAAACTGATTATCATGTTATATATGCTTATTTAAATCCCTTGTTACTATGTAGTAGTATTATATACATTATTATTTTTCTGTGGTGATAAAATATTATTATTTTGTAAAGTCCTATATTATAGTTCGCTGTGACGAGGTTTGACGAATTTAACATATATATCAACCAATAAAAATTATCAAAAATCACATGATATGTTCGTACAATGCACTAAAAAATTTAAGCTCATACGTACGTACGTGTACGATACGTGCATGTGTACGTGTACGAATCCCAACCCGGATTTATGAGATCTAAAGTTTATATGTATGACAATATTGCTGCGAAACCAAACGAAGTGCTGTCAAGATTTCAGGGTTCGAATGCTCTAAGAAAGTCCTCCAACACTTCTTCAATATCAATTTATTTAAACATTCAACTTCAAGAATATTATAAAAAAAACAAAACTTCAATAAAATAAACATGAACTTTTGACATTTACAAAAATGTTCACTTTCACCACTGAAATTTATTTGTGGATTATTAATCGGACTTTTGCTTATGGAAAAAAAAAAAAATAAAACAAGTAAAAAAAGGTGGCGAAAAAAAAAAATACCCGAAAGAAATTGAAAGACTTCACACAAATGAAAGGAAAAAATTAGAGAGAGAAGAGGGGAAGGAGGTTTTGGTGTGTAGGAAGGCGTTACGAAGAATAAATGAAGGTAATGAGCAAATTGCATAAAAAATACACAAATTATTTTCCATTCATTACATACGCTTATTTTATTTATTCATTGTGAGTATGAATAATACATATTTATTATATTTTTTACTTTTGCTAATACTCTTGTTTACACAACAGATGAATATTCTTTTCTTGTCATTACCACATTTCCCGACCAACTTCTCTTATTACATATCTTGTTTGTTTATTTATTTAAGACTTTTAATATACTGCTTATTACTTTAACTAACTTATGCCTTTTAAATTTATCTTTTTCTAGATCTTCCAAGCAAAAAAGAAGTGCTGTTTGCTTTATTTGCCATGAATTTCCGATATCATATCTGATACGGTGAAATCAACGACAAAATTGAAATGTCTGCTGCTGTCATAAATCTGAGGTAGTTGTAAAATCAGTTATTGCATTATATAATATATAGGTAATGATTAATTAGTAGTATAGGAATTATTTAAAAACACAATGATAATACTGCTCCGTTAAAACCTTGTCACATGATAATATAATTTATTAATAATTGGTCAATCATACTTGTGTAGTATAATTTATTCTTGGACTAAAAAGGATTGTGAAAGTTCATCAAGAAATTTTTTTTTATGTAAGTTTACAGCGGGGCCTGTAATATTATGCAAAAATTATACAATTATTACATTCAGTGTAATATTACATGCAAATATTACAATTTTATTAAAATTTGACAATGGGGAGAATTTCCTGATGACTAGTCACATAATACCTAAAAAGTCAAGAAATCTCCGCTGAGTGTTACCATGCAGATATAGGAAAGGAAATTAGAATAAATACGCAAAATAAATGGCGAATTGGAAAACTACACATCATAGTCGCAACAACCACCTTTGGAATGGGTAAAGTATGAATTTTATAAATTAATTAATATCTATAAATCAAATTGCATTAATTTGTTTTATTTTTGGTAATTTTTATGTATATAAAGGGATTGATAAGCCTAATGTAAGATATGTGATTCACTATTCATTGCCAGGATCTCTTGAGGGATATTATCAGGAAACAGGGAGATTGGGAAGAAATGGGAATAATGCTACATGAATTCTTTTATGTGCATTTGGTGATTTTGATTTAATTAAAAAAGTTATAACGAAGAAAGATGGATCCCAAAAAGATCAAGAAAAGATCAAATCTTATTTCAATGAAAAGATATTGTGAAGATAATATAAATTGTCACAGGAAACAATTGTTACTGATAAAAGAGACATGGACACAAAAAAGGTCATATTTATTTGGAAGAAGAGGCAAAAAAAAGAATGAAGATATTATGAAAATCAATGGAACAAATTTTGATTACAAATAAAAGGGATTAAAGAACATATCTAGGAAGAATTGATATTAAAAACATCAAGGATGATAAAAATATTAAAAAAAAAAAATTAGATGAAAAATTTTATTATATTTATCATATTTTCATGTTAATATAGTTAATATAATTAATTAAAAATTTTATTACTAAAAATGTATGGCTACATATTATTTTACCAATAATCATTTTACCAACAGTTCATTTTATCAACAACTCGCAGTGCACCATTTTAGCATTTTATTAGTTGTTTGATTATGTGTAGGTTAAATATAACCCCGAGTTGTCAGTGAAATGAACTATCAGTAAAATGAATGCCTCGCAAAATGTACAGTATATTGACTTATAAAATCTAATAAAATTAATCAAATAAATCACTCATTGTATTTAGTATATACAGTATGTGCTCATAATTTTTTCACCATGCTTTCATATTCCCAATCATTCTTCACCTATCTATCTTATCTACACTAGCAGAACTTTGAATGCTCAGAACTAAAAAAGAAAAATTAATATAAATACTAGTGATGTTAATCAGTCCTTTTTGGGCTGGACTTTTTTTGTTACCTACTTATGGTAGACTGTTACCTACTTATTGTACGATTGGTTCGTATTTTCATCATACTTTGAGGTACGACGAGTTTGCATTTGCATCGTACTTTTAGGCTTGAAGAATTTGTGATTGTTTTTTCATTTGAGCCCATCTGAGGACCCATTCTGGGTTTATGGAAGTATCCGCATTTGCGTTGTACTAGCAGTCCAATAAATTACTACAAAAACATATAAATAGAACCTCTATCCCCCACTTCTTGGCCAAAAAACCAATTTGTAAAAAATACACATTTCTTATATCGCTATAAACAATACATTTCCTAGACGAACTGCCAACTTTTTCGGTTGTGAGCAGAGTTGGCACTCCCATTGGACTGGACCATTGGACCTATTGGACCATTGGACTGGACATGTCCAGGTCCAATGC